TAATAAAGTGAAGAAAGGATAGAGAAAGCGAAAAAAGCATACAAAACTCAAAATCATATGGTCAGAGTGCTGTGGTATGAAAAAACCCATTCTCATTTTGCCTTCTTTATTGGGAGCTGAGGCGTAGGATGACTTTGGAATGGACCTCTGCTTCCAGGGACCCCTCAGAGGGCTCCACTTCTGAGTGGAGAACACAGTCACCCTAGCTGTAGCTTCCCCTGAATGCACAAGCTGGCCCCTTGCTGGAGCCTTTGATATACTTTCTTTTATTTGATGCTTAAAGCCATCACACGAGGTGAATTATCCCCAGGCACAGATCCTGAGTGGGTTGAGGTAAAGCACTTTGCCCAGGTCACCTGCTGATGAATGACAGAGCAAGGATTTGAAACTGCTGACACTTGGATGGTCTTTGGAATTAAGTGATTTTCTCTGCTTGGTTGTCCCTGTGGTACCAAAGCTTAGTCAGTCCTCTGTATCCACAGGTTCTGCATCCACTGAATCAACCACAGATGGAAAATACCTTTTTAAAGTGCACCGTACTGAACAAGTACACACTTTTTCTTCTCGTCATTATTCCCTAAACAGTACAGTATAACAACAATTTATATAGCATTTACATTGGGTTAGGTGGTATATATAATCTAGAGATGGAAAGAATACAGGGGGATGTGTGTGGGTTATATGCAAATATGCAAACGCTACACTGTTTAATGTAAAATTTCGGTATCTGCTGTGGACCCTGGAACCTGTAGGACAATATGCACTACATCTGCAGACAGGCCAAGTGACCCTGTACCTAGGGGACCAGAAGCTTCCAAAGGGCTGTCTTCCCTGCTGTGGCCCATCTGAGGCTGTCTTTCTTTTCTATAATTTTTCTGTGTCCCAAGTCCCAGACTCCTGAGCCTCTAGGAGACAGACTGTTTGACTCCTCATCAGACATACCAAGGCCAGGGCTGTTTGTTGGCCTCCAGGCTGAGTCCATAAGCCAGGAGCTTCATCCCCCTGTCCTGAGCAGAGGCAGGTGAGGACTCTGTTTTTCCTCTGCTTTCACAGGTGGCTTGTATTCTGTAACACATACATAGATGGCACGGCAGGCGTTGGTGTCCCACCTTACAGATGAAGAGACTTGGCTCAGTAAGGGGTTAGGTTTTCTTGGACCAATAGGGTGGTCATACTAGAGCTACAGAATGAGTCTTGAATTCTTCTCCCAAATTGTCCTGATTCAGCCCTAGAATTCTCCAAGGAGTCCCAGTTCTTTTTATTGGACAATGGGTCTGGATACTGGGTGAAACTTGTATTTTAATTTTGTAGAAATATGACTTAAAGTAGATCCACTCATTCCTAGCATAGCCACAATCTGTGCAAGAACTATGTCTATGGTGTTAGGCTGTGCCTGGACACACAGCAGAAGGGTATACACAAAGCAGAAGTCACGGACACCTGTGGGGAAGGGTTCTGGAGGTGGGGTAGGACAATACCCTCTTGTATTCTTGGAATGTCATCATGAACACACCTTACCTACTCAGAACACAGGCTGAGAGGAAGAGGGGGGAACTGGATCTGGAGGCTGAGTGGAAGGTATCTCACTCCCACACTGCTGTCTCCTTTGCATTGCCCTCTTTGTTTTACCTTTCCTCTTCCTCCCTTTCTTCCTTCAAGAGTATGTGCTGAATTCATGAAGTTCACCTGTACTCGTGCACCCCTGTGTGATAATGTGAAGCGCATCTTCGAGGAGTCCTCATGTAGAATACACCTACCTTTTCCTTAGGTGACCAGGTGGCCCATAGGAAACCAAGGGCTGCTGTATGACCGGAGCTGGATGATCGTGAATCACAATGGCATTTGCCTGAGTCAGAAGCAGGAGCCAAGCCTTTGCCTGATCCAGCCCTTCATTGACCTGCAGCAAAGGATCATGGTTGTCAAAGCCAAAGGTGTGGAAATACTTCATTTCCCAGGGTGTCTGGGAAGGGTGCTTTCATACTCAGATAAAAGTAAACAAATGTCTTTATGCTACCAAATATTAAAAATATCCTAAATTTGAAGGGAGGGCAGGGACAAGGGGAAAAAATGAGAACCAAGACCTGTCATGTAAATGTCCAAGATCCCAATGCTGAATGTAACTGTACTGTATACCTAAAATGCATCAATAAACTCAAAGAGACACACACAAAAATTCTAAAGTGAAAGTATAGGACAGACCACAAAAAAGCTTGTTCACCTTTGTTTTGGGAAATTTCTGAGAAGAGGTAACAATTTGAGTCCAATCAGAAAGGAAAGAGAAGCTGGGGATTTAGCTCAGTGGTTCTGCTGCCTGCCTGGAAAGTACAAGGACTGGAGTTTGATCCCCGGTACAAAAAAAAAAAAGAAAGGAGAGAGGTTTAAACTTGGAATTGTGCAGTATCCTTCGCACTTGCCTTCTGTCTTAGTTACTTTCCTCAGAGAAAATACCTGACCCCCAAAGTTACAGGAGGAAAGGTTTATTTAGCTCACACCGTGTAGGTTTCAGTCCACACTTCGGTGGCATAGCAGAGGGAAACAGTCCACAGCAAGGCAGTCAGAAGGCAGAAAGCAGCAATAGCCAGCCTGTCCTCTCTGGCTCCCTTTATATTTTATCCAGGCTATAACCCTGTTGGTTGGTGTCACTCAAAAATAGGATGGGACCTCCATTATCCACACTCTGAACTACCACCTCCATTCAGTTATCACACATCCTTAATCCCAGGATCACACACCCTAGATCCAGCCACCTCCGAAAAGGCTACCCCACCCCTAGACTGCATGAGGTTCTGGGAGGACATAGAGATGCAAGCCATAACACCTTCCTTTTCTGCCTTCACTCATTCTGTGTACTGTAGGCTTTGATTCTTCCTTGGTGATTTTTAACACCTGAAAAAGTATAACCAGTTCTGTCCAATAGAACTTTCTGTGATGGGAGGATGTTCAACCTCTACACTGCCCAGTTTGGTGGCCACTGGTCACTTGTCGCTATTTAAATTGTAAGTTGTATTTAATTTTAATTAATTTTGATAGATGTATGTGGCTAGTGGGTACAGTGCTGGATTCACAGATCAGAGAATGATGTAATACTTAATTGTAGCATCCAGTTCTAACAAATCTTAACATTCGGCCACAGTTCCTTCAGATCCTCCTCCTATGTTTCTATTTATGTAGTCATGAGTCGATATATGTATGTATCCTGGTACTAGGGATTGAACCTAGGGTCTCTACTCTGTGATATGTCTCCAGCCTTATGTAGTTGAGACTGACCTGGAACTCACTGTTTAGCCCAGGCTGGTCTCAAACTCACAGCCGTCCTCCTGCCTCTGTCTCCTGAGTCCTGGGATTACAGACGTGTGCCACCACTCCCGGCCCTTTTTCTTTTTTGAGACAGCATCTTGCAAAGTTGCTCAGGCTGGGTTGAATTTGAGATCCTCCTGTCTCAGTCTCCCAGAGTGCTGGGATTACAGGCATGTACAACCACACCCAGCTTTCCTTCTTTTAAAAAAGAAATAATAATAAAACATTATAGATATGGCTGAATTTCTCTGTGTACCTTTCTTGGGTACTTTATTAAACATTGTTAAGATTTGGTTCATGATCTAGGATACCTATTACCAGGAGCTTCTGTATCTATTTGAACAGGATATGTGTTCCTCTATAAATATTCTATAAATGTCAATTAGACCGAGTTGGTTGATGGTATATTTCAGTATTTCTGTAAGGTTGCTGATTTTTCTGCCTACTAGTTCTGTGCCCTGAGTCGAGTGTTGGACTGTAATTGTGGATTTGCCTATTTTTTTCTTTTATTTTTTGTTAGTGTGTGCTTCATTTAGCATTTTTATGTTTTTTGGTGACTTTTTCCTCTTTAAGTAGTGTCCCTCTTTATACATGGTAATTTGCTTTGTTTCAAACTGTGACATATGAAATTGTTTTTCTGAGATTAAAATAGCCACCCCACCTCTGTTTTGATTAATGTTATTATGGTGTGTCATTTTCTGTACTTTACTTTTTTTCTAGCTTTATTGATATATATGTAATATATATATATCAGTGTATCTACTTAATGCCTGCAGTCGATCATTTTTAGTACATTCACGGTTAGAACCTTTCAGCTAATTTTGGAACATTTTCATTATCCCCAGAGAGAAACTCTGTACCTGTGAGCAGTCACTACCCATTTCTAGCCTCATTCCTCGTCTTTGGGCAACCACTAATTTACTTTCTGTTTCTATGGATTTTCCTCTTCCCCTAAACTCTGTTATTTTTTCTCAGAATAAGGCAATACATTACATTTGTGGATTTTCTAGTACTGAACTATATCCTTGCTCTTGTGAGAAATAGAAATACTACTTTGCAATAATTATTTAAACATATTACTGAGTTTGATTTGATAATATTTTGTACTTAGTACTTTTGTATCTATTTTTACCAGTGAGATGAATGTATATGTAACCTTTTATTGTAACCCTTGTGTTTTAATTTGGTGCCTAGGGTATTAACTTATATTAATGATTATTCTAAGTTATTACAGCCGGGCGTGGTGGCGCATGCCTGTAATCCCAGCACTCGGGAGGCAGAGGCAGGAGGATCACTGTGAGTTCGAGACCAGCCTGGGCTACATAGTGAGTTCCAGGTCAGTCTCAGCTACAAAGTGTGAGAACCTGTCTCAAAAAAACAAAACAAAAAAATTTTTACAAATGTATATCACATACTCTAATATATGATGTATGTTACAATTAAAGGAAAAAAAAAGAATAGTTTTCAATCCCACTGACATAGTAGGTTGTATTTTTATTAGGTTAATTGTCATTTTTATTTTTTAAGCAATAATGACTACTGATGCAAGAATTTAATTTGATGCTATATTTTTTACAGCATGTGGCTTCATGTCCACCTGTCTGTCTATGAAGGATTTAGGATAGTTTAGAGAACAATGACTTCAGAATGTGGACCATGTGGAGTGGAGAAACCATTCAAAGTAATTTATAGAACATCCCAGGGACTATGGGTATAATTGCCCCAGTGCAGGATTTACCAGAAATCTGCTTGAAGCACACTCTTGGTGGTACTAAATAATGAGAAAGAAAATCTCTGTGTTATGAATTTATAAGACCCAGCCATGCCCTTGGTCCAGCCAAGCTCCAGAGTCATTAAAATTCTTGTAGATTTCATGATAGTAGGCTTTTCTTTCTCCTCTCCTCTACTCCCCTCCTCTTTCTTTCTCTTCCTTCCTTCCTTCCTTCCTTCCTTCCTTCCTTCCTTCCTTCCTTTCTTTCTTTCTTTCTTTCTTTCTTTCTTCCTATAGTAGGCTTTTCTTGCATAGCTGTTCATTTTGTATGATGATAAACTTATCTCTGCCCTTTGTTCATTAGGCATGGAGCCCATAGAGGTGCCTCTTGAGGAAGATAGTGGCCGGGTTCAGATTTGCCAAAGCACAGTGTGTACAGACAGGTAAGATTCTGAAGCAGGTGGCAGTCCTGGCAATAATGGGCTTGGTGGCACAGAAAGGGAAGAAAGCACTGCCCAGTATGATCTGTCCTCTGCTGCACTCCTTATCCCGTCAGCTACACAATGCACTCTAGCAACGTGGGCTCCTTGGTGTTCTTCATACCTCCCGAGCACACTCCCTTCTCAAGGCTTTGCACCTGCTCTCCCCCCATTTATTACTCTGTAGAGCTCAGTTCTTTTTCTTCACTAATCTCCCCTCCATCAGGTCTCTGCCGCAAAGTCCTCTTCTCAGAGGGCCGCATGACCACCCCCAGAATTTGGTCCTTTTCTCTCCATTTGTCTGGCTATATTTATGTCCTTCCCATTTATTGTTCCTAGCATATTTATTTATTTTTAGCCCTTTCCAAAATGCCTATGTTCTCCATGCAGAGCCTAGAACAGAGCTGGGTGCAGAGTAGGGGGTGGGAGGACGAAGTGAGTCAGCGGGAGCCGTTTAGAGGCCACTGCAATAGCTCAGAGGAGCCCCATGGTGCACGAAGAAAGTTCACATTTTTCAAAGATTGGCTGAGGGGTGTAAAGTTGTTGGAAAGGGGTAGGGTTCAAGTGGGAAGGCTGGCTAGACACCTGTGTTCACAACGTGGGTGGGATGACATGGGGGCTTGACCAGGGTCATAGAGAAAATCAAGTCAGCCTCAGATATAAATTCTGGAACTACATCACCTAAACATCCGTGGGCTGGATGAGGAGGCCGAGTGTGGGAGGCATGTCAAGATGTCTTTCAGGTTTTAAGTGGAGTGTTCATGAGACGACCCATAAGTTATGTACTCTGTAGCTGTGCAGTGTTACCTAATTTACATTGTTGATGATAAATCATCCACTAAACTCTAGGAAATGTAGAGTAGGATTGAATAGCTTTTCTATTTTATGTTTTGATGATACATGTTTATCATTCTATTCACTGAATACCTCAAATGTCTGTGTCCCTTGTAATCTAAATCTGATCTGTACCTGAAAATGTGGAATAGAAAAGTTTACGATTATGGGAAACCCATCCCATCCCATACCAACAAAATTCCCACCAAATACTAAGGCAGGTGACTATGGAACAATAAAAAGGTGTAAAGATGCAAATTGCCTAGTAGTTACTGCAGTGAACTCAGTAGTGGGCAGGTGTGTTCTGTTGTTGGTGATGCTACATGGTGGTATCAAATCAGATTACATTTCTTTTTTGGTATCAGGGATCGAACTCAGGACCTTGGGACCTTGCGCTTGCAAGACAGGTGTGGTGCCCCTGAGTTAAATCCCCAGCCCTCAGATTACATTTCTATTTGCACTGCTGTGAACCTACACGATCATGCATATTGTGACATGATATTTTATACTGAGATACTAGAGCTTCATCCAAATTAGACCTGAGTGATTGGTGCCCCAGGGGAGAGGATCCCTCTGGGACTCTGAAGGGCTGCACTCCCAGAAAAGGGTGTTAAGGTGCTGGGGAATGACTGGGCCAACACGACTGAGGATCATGGGCACTGATCTCTGGCTGAAGAACTGAGCACATACTCTATATTCTTGCCAGCACTTGCAGTACTTTAACTGTTTTTGCCAACATAAGCATTTATTATGGCACATTTTTGATGAGACCAATAGATTTAGGGCAACATTTTTGCCATGTTGCTATGTATTACTAACCTTCTGGTAGAAGTATAGTTGTGGAGGGAAATGAGTAATTATTTATCAGGCTCATCCCAGGTTGTACATTTCACTCTGCTGTGTGGGAGAAGTGTGGTATTCTGGTTAGTAAAGCTTTTCAGATAGCCAGAGCCTAGATATGTTTTTGCTCTGAACCAAGGTTACTCAGTGTAATAAACATGGCCTGGGTGAAATATTTCCAAGCATAGGAGAGAGTGCTACAGAGAGGAGTCCTGGAAGTCCGGGAGTCTCTTTCCCTCCCAAAACAGGAAGGAAACTCATTTTCTCGTTAAAAATTAAGGCAGGGTGTCAACAATATTACCTTGTAATTCCAGGACAAGATATTAGCAATTTTACATTATTAATCCCATTGATGTACATTTTGAAAGATTCTATAGGATTCCAAAGCTTTAAAACATTGGATCAATAAAGGTACTTATTCTGGTACTATATAAGAACAGTGTCAATTTTGCAAACCAAACACATCAGCCACATAGTTGGGCTGTGAGGGAAAATGTTTCAGTCAGGTTCAGTATAAAAACCAAGGCACATTTCAAGGGATTCTTAAAGCAAAACACCTCTTGGGAAGATTGCAAATTCTAAGCTTTGTGCTTCTTAGTGTCAACAATTAATAAAAAAAATGATTATGAGGAGAAATTTCTAAAGGTTTTAATCTGGTCTGGAAGCTTTTCACAGCCCCACAGGGTAGGTCTTCCCATGCCTTGATCTCCCAGCACCCCTAAGCTGTCTGCTGCTTCTAGCTGCCTCCTCCCTGGGGACTCAGGGAATATTTTATTTTCATCTGACTTTTTGTGGTATGGATAATTATTTTTAAAATATTACATAAAAGTTCACCCCTTTTCTCTATTTCTTTTCCTCTATCCTGTCCTCTTTCCCTCCCTCCTTTATTCCCTCCCTCCATTCTGTCCTTCTTTTTTTCCTCCAGGATAAATGCTTATGATTGTGGAGAAAAAATTTCAAGCTGGTTGTCGAAATTTTTAGGCCGTCCTTGTCATTTAATCAAACAAAGTTCAAACTTTCAACGAAATGCAAAGAAGAAGCATGGAAAAGGTATTACATTTGGGATGGGCTCTGAGAGGGCAGCAAGCCTGGCTTACTCAGCACACAGCAGAAACAGACCAGACCATGGAATGTCCTCGCCAGGTGACTTGCTCATGTGCAGAAAGCAGGGGCTGTCACCCTTCAGCAGGAAGCTGTGTGGTGGCTCTGGTCAGAGGCCAGTGAGCTCTCCGATCCCCTGTGGGTGTCAAGCCACTGCCTCTCCTTTGCTCAGGGCCTCAGCCCAGTCCTGTGGGTTTAGGAGCACATCTGATTTTGTTAAATAAAAACATTAATAGCTTCGGTGTCCTCAGATTAGATCTGAAAAGAAAACCTGGGTTTCTAATTTTTAGCTCTGTCACCATATAGAGATGAAATCTTGCTAAATCTTAGAATCTCTCATGCCTCAATTCTGTGAACCTTAACTACTCAGACTTTTGAGTTGTGACATCTTTTTCCCATCATGAGCCATTGTTAGGATGCAGGGAGGCCATGGAGAAGCTGGGGAGAAGGGACTTGTGAGCCACCGGGGAGCCAGTATCTTACCTTGTCGCTGCAGGAACCTTTGGAGAGGTTTAAGCTGAGCAGTTTGGTGACATCACTTGTGTCTGAAAGATACTTCTGGGGTGGTGTGGCAGCTGCCTCAGACACGAGACTTGGGAAAGAAGCAAAAGCGTGGCGGGAGGTGGCTAGGAGCGTCCCAGTGGGAGAGGGAGGCCTGGGGGAGGCGAGGTCAGAGGAGAAAGCCTGGCACCGCACGGTGCTGGATCAGGGACTCACCTGTGTCTACATCAGCATGCCACTTAACAGGGCAGAGCTCTCTGGGTCTGGGCCACTGGCCTTCAGACATTTTGGCGCACCGTGGAAGGATTTTAAAAACTACATTCCCTCCTTGTATAGTTTTACATTATTATCTAAATTTTAAGAATGGTTTAAATGGTTGCAAAAGGTGTGATTTTTCAGCACATTGTAAACATTGTCATACAGGGCTCTTCTCAGTGCAGCCAGTGAAATCACAACACCACAGCAATTTGACTTTCATGAGTAATCATTTAAATA